GAATAGATAATTCAAAAAATTGATTCTCTTTCATTAGTCATCTATTATTGAAATTGATGAGAGAACGATAATCTTAAAACTATTGAGTAGTTCTAAGAAAAAATAAAAGCGTAAGGTATGGAGCATGGATAAATTATATATATTTTTTTTTTCGGCGCTTTTCCTTTAAATAAGAAAGGATTCGCTGTTTTTTTGAGCATTGATTTGGTTATTAGTTATTGATCACATTCTCTGCACTCTATTTAATACAATGATAAATATGTAATGAAATATGTTTGTTATCTTCTAGGCTCGTGAACTAATTCTTTCTAATGGTTTGAAATTGAGTAGTCTTGTTGAACATCAAGAAGTTAGTTTATATGATTTTTGTTTTTTTTTTCATTTAATGATTTTCGTTTTGTTCTATGTTCAAGCTTGATCTGGCTATTGATGGTGCTGATGAAATAGATGAGCAATTTAATTGTATTAAAGGTGGTGGTGGATGTCAAACACAAGAAAAACTTGTTGCTTTTTGTTCAAAAAAATTTATTGTTGTTGCTGATGAAAAGTACATAAAATAAAATAAAATGTATTAATTAATTGAGATAAATTTTTCGTTTGTCTATAATAGAAAATGGTCAAAACGTTTAGGTAATACATGGACAAAAGGCATTCCAATTGAAGTTATTCCGATAGCGTATAAAATAACAAAAAAAGAAATTGAAAAACAACTTGGTGGTGAAGTTATTGTTCGTGAGGGAACAGAAAAATTAGTAAGTTTAAAATAAAACAAATTTGATTTTTTGAAAAAAGAAAACACGAAAAAATTTGTTTTAGGGTCCAGTATTAACTGATCAAGGAAATTTCATTCTTGACTGGAAATTTGATGCTTCGAAAACTTCAAATTGGTCGGATGTTAATCAAACATTAAAAATGATTCCTGGTAAAATAGATTTTATTTTTAAAATTATTAGTTCTATTTCTTTATTATATTTTATAGGTGTTGTTGAAACTGGTTTGTTCGTAAACATGATTTATAAAGCATATCTTGGTAACAGTGAAGGCAAAGTTGAAGTTAAAACAAATCCTGCAATATCTTCATAAATATTATCCTTGCATCTTTTTTTTCTTTCTTTTTCTTTTTGTTTTGAAATACTATTCTAACTTGCATTTTTTTTCAGATAAAATTTTATCTGGAATGACGGAATATCAACTTCAAAATCCACCAACAGATGGAATTACATCTGTACATTTTTCTCCAAATAATCAAAGTCAGTTCTTAATCGCTTCGTCATGGGATTGTTCTGTTCGGTAAATATTCAAATTCAACTAAAGAAATCATTCCGAAGTTAGAATGCAAATAAAATTGCAAAATCTATGTGATTCTTTTCTCAACCATACCCATTCAACTATGACGTAATGGAGAGAATGACCATATGAAAAAGTAGCCTGATTAGTCGTCAAAGTAATAGATAAAAAACAGCTGATTGTCATCAACAACCGGACTCAATCTACACACAACAGTCATTGACTATATCAATCGGTCCAAATACAGCACAATCAGGTGCTATAGGACTAATTCCATCAAAAATCACTTTCAGAAACTTTTTGTAAAAGTTTGACGGGTTTGATTTTGTGAGTTATCAATCCTTCTCTCTTAAAATGAAGAGTATCTCTTAACGATTAAATGAGTCTGGTTAATATTTACAGAATCACGATAGACACTAATCTAACTCACAAGAATCGAATATTTTTGCATCTTGGCTTAAAATGAAAATCTACGGAGTAATTTCTGGAACCTGAACTTTAATTTCAAACTGAGCAGCATTCGCTAATCAATAGTTATAACATTGTTCTTATTCACTATACTTGGAAAATAATACGATTCAATGATTCGGAAGATATGAGTAAAAGTTACAAAAATTTTTCTCAGTCATGGTACATAGTACGAAAAAAGTATACTCTATACACTTCTATTTTCACTTTCTAAAAGTGATTCTACCCATATAGTTAAAGTTGTTTTGTAGTTGCAATGTTCTCATTATAAATATACTATTCTTGCTTGTAAAATAAGGTTAAGTTTGATTCACCTGAGCACAACAAACTAGTCAATTGATTCTCTACATTCCGGTAAAATTCTTTTTTCTTCTTACATCTATTCTAAGAACAATTTTGTGTCAGTTTACATACAAAAACAAAATAACAATGTTAGTAAATGAAGATCTAAATACCAATCTCATCTTTTACTAAATTTGATGCCTAGAAAAAAAATTCTTTGACTGCTTGCTTTAAAATCATTTAATGAAAAGCTAACTATTTCTTTCTTATATTTAGTTTATATGATGTTAATCAACATGCATTCCGTCATATGTACAAACATGCAGGTCCTGCATTAGATTGTTGTTTTCCGGTATGATTTTACTTTTCTGAAAATAATTCTTCTATATTCAAAAAATTTTTTAGGATCCTTCACGTGCATTAAGTGGTGGTTTAGATCGTATTTTGAAAATGTACGATTTTAATACACAAAAAGGTATAGATTTATTTTAATTGATTAATAAAATAAAGATTTAAACTTTAAGAAACTTTAATGGGATATCATGATAATGCAATACGATGCGTACATTATTCACCTGAAATAAATATGATAATCACTGGTTCATGGGATGCATCCATTAAATTTTGGGATTCACGCGTACCTAATTGTCTTGGTTCTTGCTCATTACCTGATAAAGTAAATTCACTAAAGTTTAGTTTTAGTTCTTTTATCGAATATTTCTTTTTCCATAGATTTATACATTAGATAGTGTTGGTGAATTACTTGTTGTTGGAACAGCACAACGTAAAGTATCGGTTTGGGATTTACGTAAAATAAATAGTCAAACTCCAATTGAAAATCGTGAATCAAATTTAAAATATCAAACACGTTGTATACGTTGTTTTCCAAATAAACAAGGATATGTTCTTAGTTCAATTGAAGGTTTTTATTTCATATAATCTTATTTATTAAACTTTTTTTATTTTTCATTCAGGTCGAGTTGCTGTAGAATTTTTTGATCCAAATCCAGAAATTCAAAAGAAAAAATATGCATTTAAATGTCATCGTTCAAAAGATAATGGAATTGAAAATATTTTTCCTGTTAATGCTATTGCTTTTCATAAACAATATGGAACATTTGCAACTGGTGGTTCTGATGCATTTGTAAATATGTGGGATGGTGCAAATAAAAAACGTTTATGTCAATTTCATCAGTAAAATATTTCTTTTATTTAATTTTTAAATCATATTTAGCTTTTTTTTCCCTTCTTATTTTAGATATCCAGCTGGTATAACAAGTTTGGCTTTTTCATCCGAAGGAAATATGCTCGCTATAGCATCATCATATAATTATGAATATGGCGCTGATCTACAATTAGCACCAAATGATGTGACAAAAAATAATATATTTGTTAGACGTGTATCTGATTTAGAAACTAAACCTAAATGATAAAAAAGAATCAATAGATAAATGTGTTTTCTTTTGTTCTATGTCTTGTTGTTGATATTAATAGAAAAAAGAAAAAAAAAATATGAATATATTATTCTTTAGATGGTTGATGAAACACTTTTTGATTATCTTCATATGGCTATTGTTGACTAT